CCTGCTGAGCTGGATTAATGAGATTCAGTTTATCCTTAATAGAGGCAGAATATTCAGGAGAATATTATGTATCCTATGTGGCGCATATTTAAAGGTCTAGAAAATTAAATCATAAATCAAGGAGAATGAAGACTTTCTAAATAAGGAGATTATTTAGGAAACTAAAGATTGGAGACCTTTCTTGGGGCATGTAATACAGTGGGAGAACTGACTTGGGTGTTTTGTGTTTTATCATAATTGTTGCGGATAGTAAGATTTGCCACCGAATTTTCTTTTATCCAATAAAGGAAAGGGTGAAAAGAACAGAAAAGACCTTTTGAGAATTTTTCTTGAGTTCGAGGGGTAGGTTATGAAAAGGGAAGGTGTTAGCACCCTTTTCATGGGTAGTTATCTACGGGATCTTAGTTGCTAGCTCACTTTGAAATGTTTTGTTTGAAATTTGTTTGTGATAGGTTTTGAAAGTATTTTTGAAAAGTGCCTTCGTTTAGGAAAACTTTGTAATGATTCTCGTCTCTATAAGAATGCATACAAAGTGTTGGCTTTTGAAAATATTTCATTTGAAAGTGTTGGTGTGTTTTGAAAGATGTTTTGAAGATGGTTGTGAGCAAGCAACTATGAATGTTTTACCTACTCGAAAAGTCTTAGTTCTTTTCCTCCTCCTTTAGATATTGCTTGTTTACCATTATTGGGTAAGAAGCCCTATCATTGGATGTGAAGGGACAGGCGCGGGTCATCTTACAGACATAGAAGGAAACTTATGAGACACTTTAGCAATTTTTGTAAGGGACTAAGATCGTTTTACCAAAGGCAACTTCGAAGGGTCATCGAGGGACCATAATCTTTTTATCAAGGGTCTTTGCTAAAGCGTCCCATATTCGAGGGACGTGACTATTTTTTCCGAGGCAATAAGCAAGGTTACCCTAGAGGTACGTGTGTATGAATTGTGTTTTGATTGCATGCATTTTGTCTTTGAGATTAGGGTTTTCTAAGATTGTTTTATCTTGCCATACACACCCTAATTACTAACAATTATATTAAAAGCCATAAATTACGGAAATTAAAATCCTACGTTATTACATCATTTTTGGGGGTGGGGATACAAGTAATAAAAATGCGGGAAAAGTAAAATCCTAATTACTTATTACAACCAAATTGAATAAAAATAACAGCAAAAAGTCTCAAAAATCAAGATTTTTTGGAATCTGGTCTGACACGGGCCGTGTCCTGTGACACGGTCACCCGTGTCAGGATCCTGTAATAATCCATGCATGTTTTTTTTGTCCCAGCTGAGTTGACACAGGCCGTGTCCTGTGACTGGATATTTTAATTTTTGATGAAAAGTGGAAGTCACCGCTCCTGCCTCATGTATCCAGGGGCGTCCAAGTAGGCAAGAGTAAGAAGGACGAATATCCACCACATAGAAAGTAGAATTGAAAATTTGAGAACCAACTTTGATGGGGAGGTCAATCTCTCTATGTGCCATCCTTTTGGATCCGTCAAAAGCTCTTACAACTATGTCACTTGGCTTCAACAACAAACCTTTGCAATCCAACCGATCTAGGGCACCTTTGGGTAGGACATTTAGAGAGGACCCAGTTGAAACAACCGGCTGAAAATCATCAAACAATGAAGTTGCCATCGAACGTCTTTTATCCCACATGGAGGGAAAGGTAAACATCGAGAAAACCTGAGAAGGGAGAAGTCACGGTCTTGCGACCGAGAGATCGAGTAAGGGAGACTGTTACGCAAGGGGAAGGTATTAGCACCCCACACGCTCGTAGTACTCTACGGTATCCACTCTTGTTATCTATCTTATGGGTGTGTTTAATCTATGCTTACTGTTTACTATACTACTTAAGGGAATAATGCATGCAAAAGAGAGGAGAAAAGAATGTAGGGAAAATAAAATTATGCTCGCTTGGGCCCTACCCCAATGCCTACGTATCCTTTTTGAGGAATCAGAGCTACCGTAGTTCGGCTCACATGTTTTTGGTTGTTTGTGTTTTTTATGGACGAAATTAATTCCGCCTTCTTCCGCAGATCGACCTTTGGAGACTTATGCGTTGGCACAGAAGTAAATTAATCGTGTCCTTACCTGAAAAAGGTTTTAGAGAAATGGTGCTCGAACGCACAAAATGATTTGAATTGGTTTTGTGTTTTATTACCTTGAAAAAGGGTTTAAGTGAGGTTAACATGTTTTTGATTTGCTAAGAAAATGAGTTTTTGTTTTAGATGCAAGGATGCAAAAAGGGGAAGAGAAGAGTCTAAAGAAGACTAGCCTATTTCTAACCTAATGTTATCATACAGTGGTAGTCCTATGTCAAGGATGAAAGGGGAAGTTTCTACCTACTATTAGCATGCCAAAGAAAGTCTAACAAAACTATCCTATAGGGAACATGCAATGAGAGCGAAGTCGTGATCTCAATTTCTAAATTGAGTGACTCATTGATTAGCAAGAAATAATAGAAAGCGATAAAATCCTATAGGGAGCATGCACTGAGAGCGAAGTCGTGATCTCAATTTCTAAATTTAGTGACTCATCATTCAACAAGAAAGTAAACAAACACAAGCACAACACATATAGCAAATGAAGTGTGGAATGCCTGCTACAGGTCTTTAAACAGCGACTTCGAGCGCACGCTCTTTATTTCCTACTTCTCATGATATCTAGGAAGCGATAATGAAATGCAATAAAGTGCGAATAAGTACAAGGGTAGTAGCGGAGGCTACCAAAGCGAGCAAGTCGTCAAGAGCAGACGAACGCACTGAAAAAACAGGGAGTACGCGCCGAGCAAGCTTCACCAAGAAAAAAACAGAGTTAGAAACAATATCCAACTAAGATAAAGGCAAACGTGTGTCGCGAATGCGGCGCATAATCAGAAGTTCCTGCACAAAGCGTCATAAAGTATCACATGCATTTTGACAACATATAATATGATATGAATTTCTCAGGACGATGAGAAATAAGGCATGTCGCATTGGACACGAGCATAAGCCATATGCTTCGATGATATAACTACTTGTTATGTTACACGATCAAAATCACCAAAAATGTACCTTACACAATGAACAAACGTGTCACAAATAACGAGGCACGACGGTATGAAAATATGAATGAAAACTAAAAAAAAAGTATTTTTTATTAGTTTTTAATGTGAAGAGAAAATTCTATCGAAAACTAAAGGATTAATTCTTAGGGGAAATTCTATTATATTCTACCATTTTTATTGTTTTTATCATGTATCCTATCACTATTTTTATTATAAAAAAGAAAATTAAACTAAAGAAACAAGGTCTAAAACCAAAGAAATTAGAGAGTTAGGGGTGTCAAACTACAGCTGGTGTAGTAAAGCAAGCATAAGTTGGCACAGAGGCCCAACCATTAAAATCCAATAAGTTGTTTTTGTAAACTAGACTTCAAACTCCAAAAAAACAATGGCAGCATGGACCTAATGGAGGTGTGTTCAGTGAATTCGGTTCCAGGGCCCAACATACACTTCCTCAGTTTATTCAATCCATAATTTTATTCATCACTTCTGATTATTAAAAAAAGAATTGAAAAATTAAACAAAATGAAAGCATGAGGAACACAGTCATTTTGATTAAGCATTTAGGGTTAATTGATTGTGACCATCCAGCTTCCACAAGAGAATTCTCTTATCCCTCTCTCACTCAAGCTTCATTCTCCAACAAACATGCCCGTCCGTAAAAACTCTCCGCCGAAATCACCTTCTCTGACGAATTTCGACGATCCGCCGCCGATAACAAAACCAATCATCGATTCTTACCGTTGCTTCACCTTCATCCCTCAATCTTAGTCTATCTTTAATCGTCCATGATTTCACCTAGTCTTTCTAGACTCATATTACACGGTGGTGAAATCATCTAATGCAATCGATTCGAAAAGAATAAGAAATCATAGAAGGAGTGAGCGGAGTATACTCACCTACCAGAGACAAGTCTAGTGCCTCTTCTCAGACGATGAAAGCGACGAGAAATCCAGAGAAAAGAGGTGCAGGTTTGCGTTTTCGTTCTTCCTCCTCTTCTCTTTTCCGCTTCTTTTATTATCCTCCACGATTTTCAGCGTTGTTGTGTTATTTGATGTAGAGAGCATGTAGAGAGAGACGCTTTAATGTCTTTGTATAAAGGAGGACGCGAGGAAGATGAAACTTTGGTGATTTGTCGCTACTGCAGAGGATGCGTGATGATGATTGAAGTATTCGTGTTTGTACAAGATGAAGACTGAAGTTGTTATGCTGTTGTGTGAAGATAATAAAGATGATGTTGAGGATGGAGATGGAAAAAAAGTGCAGAAGAAGTTTCAGAGAGAATTTTTGGAGAGGGCGAAGAGTGAATCTATGGAAAATGATGGTCCCTGTGGAATGTAGGTGAGGTTAGTTTATATAGTTTGATGAAGGTGGTGAAAACGGTTAGAGAAGAGAGGATAGAGTGCAGAGATTTTCAGAGGAGAATAGGTTTTGAAAACAATTGTGAATGGTGAGGACAAAGAGCTTTGAAGATGCAGAGAGACTTTAAGAATTTCCAGAGAGAGTTTTTTCTTGTTTCGTTTTTTTTGGGTATTCTTCTCAGGTATATCTGAATTTATATTCTGTTAGAATTTTTCTGGTGAATGAATCCCCTCTTTTTCTGTTTTTCAATCTGTTATTGCTGTTAGGAAAAGTTATTTACATGAAAATGAATCTGAGCTGTTAGATTCCAATTTCTGTTAAAGAATTAGATGGCCCGATCTGTTTGAAACTTTCCATCTCTTATCCAATTTCCACGGTTTCCCTGCTTCTTCTGATATTTTCTGGTTTTTCTGAATTGATATTTTCTGATACGTTTTTTTTGTTATAGATCTCTGCTAGAAGTTTGTTAGAAGTAGTTAGGATGTTGGTTAGGAAGTTGGTAAAAGTAGTTATGGAGAAATGGTTAGAAAAACTCTGTTTGGTTTTCTGTTATTCTTGAGAAATTTTTTGTGTAATTTCTGAATAATGAATCTAGTGTCCAGTTTCTTTGTGAATGAATTGTGTATATAGGTAAGAATGATGGGAAAAGTTTGTTAGAAGAGTTCTTGTGAAAGTGTCTCTAGCTGTAGCCCATGCCTGAGTTAGTGTCTGCTCTGATAAGGGGGCATCTTTGTCAACATTGCTCCTCAGCAAAAGGGTGACTGCATCGAAGAAACCCTGAAGAACTGATGCCAAAATGAGATCATTTTCATCATCATCGCCAGTGACAAAGAAATGCAGGTCTTGCACAAATTTGCAAACAATGATATTGTTCTCAAGCAGTGTTATCTCAGCTTCAGTCCGCGCATTTGTCTTAACAGTCTTAGTGAACACAAACTTCTCAAAAGCTAATTTTGAACTGTTTGTTGGCCAGTCATCTGAGTAATACTTACCTGCCACACGCTTCCCTTCAGAATCTAAAAGAAGAATGTTTTTAATCAAAGGACACAAGTCGTTGGATTCCATGTCCCGGGAGAGGAGAAGGAAGATGTAGTGTGTGTTTGTTGTTTTGATTTAGTAATTTTGGATGTAAATGGCCTTTGTAATTTTCTCTTGTAATGCTCCAATAACATAGCTTGTAAATTGCATGGTTAAAACCTTAAGTGAACGAGAATGAAGTTGGATAACCCTTTGACAAATCATGCATGGTGTTTAGAACTTGTAAAGATCATATCATTGAATGAACGTGAACCCTTGGATCTTGATGAGTTTTGATGAACAAAACTAAATGAATAACCTTGAATGATGTTATGACTTGTAATTCTTTGCAAATTCGTAATTGTACACCAAGAGAACCACATGAACAAATCTTCTAACTTTATCTTGAATCAACCATTGCCAAATCATGAAATTGAGACCTTGAGCTAATATTAATCTTAAGTACAATTAGTAGTTTCAATGAATCCAAATTGACTTTAATTCTTAACAAACAAAAACCTAAATCAACTTGCCTTCTTGTCAAAACTCCTAACCTCGATCTCAAATCCATATTATATTGCTCTACAAGCAATAAGCAATTGAGAGGATAATAATTCCTTGTTCGCAGTGAACTTACCTCTTCATCTTTGTATCATAACTCAATGCTTTTGCACCTCAATCTTCAAAGATATCTTGACTTGCGGAGCACACAATATAAATGCCTTAAATAACTCTTGGAGATGGATGATGAGGCTTGAAATGGTGAAGAGGAACCAAACTCTAGCTTAAAGAAATCTCCGCTGAAAACCAATATTGAAACCCTAATTCTTGAAGGTTCTCGACCCCTTGCCAAGTTATGTTGTTAGTGAATGTATGCAATGTTAAATGACCTAATGGAGTTATATACATGAGAAAAGCGCGGCAATGCATAAGCCAGATAAAAGTAAAAGGGTAGGACAAATTTGGGGTATTACAGCTGCCCCTATTTAATCGTCTTATACTTGAAAGTACGATTGGCACATGCCTTTCGGGAGTTCAAGGTAGAAGATGATTAAATATCAATGCCAAAAATTTGTTCTGGGAGAAAGCGTGAGTGTTTATTTATTTGTTTTGTGATATCTGCTGGGGGAAAGAATTTTTGTTTTTTAATGAAGAGACGGAGATTGGACTTTTAACATAGCATGATGCCAATACAAGGAAGGGATAGGGCTTGTAATGTAGCATGATGCCAATACAAGGAAGAGATCGGACTTGTAATGTAGCATGATGCCAATATAAGGAAAAGATCGAACTTGTAACGTAGCATGATGCCAATACAAGGAAGAGATCGGACTTGTAACATAGCATGATGCCAATACAAGGAAAGGATCGGACTTGTAACATAGCATGATGCCAATAAAAGGAAGAGAGTGGACTTGTAACGTATCATGATGCCAATACAAGGAAGAGAGCGAACTTGTAACGTAGCATGATGCCAATACGAGGAAAAGATCAGACTTGTAACGTAGCATGATGCCAATACAAGGAAGAGATCGTACTTGTAACGTAGCATGATGCCAATATAAGGAAGGGATCGGACTTGTAACGTAGCATGATGCCAATACAAGGAAAAGATCGGACTTGTAACGTAGCATGATGCCAATACAAGGAAGGTACAACACGGACGAGTGTTTGAATCGATACGGACGAGTATCAAAAGAAGATACGGATGAGTATCAAGAAAGGTTAAACACGGACGAGTGTTTGAATCAATACGGACGAGTATTGAAAGAAGATATGGACGAGTATCAAGAAAGGTTAAACACTGACGAGTGTTTGAATCAATACGGACGAGTATTGAAAGAAGATACAGATGAGTATCAAAAGGTTAAACACAGACGAGTGTTTGAATCAATACAGATGAGTATTGAAAGGATATACGGACGAGTATCAAAAAGTTTAAACACAGACGAGTGTTTGAATCGATACGGACGAGTATCGAAAGAAGATACGGACGAGTATCAAGAAAGGTTAAACACGGACGAGTGTTTGGGAGACTGACACAGATGAGTATTTATGAGTTGACACAGACGAGTGTTTAGGAATTTACACGATGAGTGTTTAGAAGTTGACACGACGAGTGTTTAGGAATCTGAATTATTTGTCAGAAGGGAGTTAGCTACCAGAAGAAAACTGGGTCTAGAATGACAAAGTGTATTGATTTTGTTGGGCATTAAAAAGGTGAAGGTCATCAACTGGGAATTTTGGGAATGATACCCTCCTGTAGGGATGTATTGTCGTCCTTGAATAATTCAGGTCTTTTGTGTAAGGTACCTGATCTGGCTTATGCTTCGTATGCATGTTTGAATTTCTTTTGCCGCAAAGACCCACTCTGATGGATCAGCTACGCGCTTTTGAAGATGCAATGTTATGTAATAATAATTATATGCAATGCAAAGGAATAGGCTTCATTGGGATAAGAGAGGGCCCATTGGGAACCGCTGCTCATTATTGGGGATGCCAATACATATCGATGTTGGAAGTTTGCAGTACCAAAGATCGCTGGGGATGCCGATAAAAATTTGCACTGGGGAGCCCATGATACCGAAGATTGTTGATGACTCTGCTGAAGATTGAATTGCTGACGAAGAGAGTTTTCAGATACGCCACTGAATTCTGAATCGTACTGTTAGGGAAGAGACAATCCGGATAGACCTCCCCACATCCTAAAACGTCGAGAGGATGACAGAATTGAATATGCTGAAGAATGGATACTGAACACCATGTAAATTTCTCAGAATATATGCCCCAAGTTTATGCACACTGGGGAATTATCTCTTGAATCACTTGGGGATAAGAGATGGGCATGGACACCTATGAATTCCCCAGTTTAGCTCTGTGAATGCCCCAGTTTAGCTCCACTAGGGATGTTCTTGATTAACTCCACTGGGGATGCACTTGCACGTGCCAATTCAAATGAAGACTCCAAACTTTCTGAACTCACTTGGGGAATCAAGTTTGAAATTGTCTGTGGCAGATGAAGGCAGCTTCGTGCACTGGCTAGGCCAGGGTGACTGTTACGAATTGCTAACTGCAAGGAAAAACAACATTTGGAATGCATACGACATTCCCACATGGTTATACATCGACGTAAAGTCAACTTTCATCTCGGCTTGAGAATTTTTATTCCCCATGTTTCTAATGCAATGTTTAATAACAAATAAAACACATTCTGCATACGAAAACATTTCATGATAATAAGATACAACTTTGATGAAAGCAGATTTTATTGATTGGCCTATGAATAGGCATTTGTACAAGGAAGCAACTCCTATATGAGGTAGCTGCGAAACAAAAACGAAAAATACAACAGGTATAAATGGCAATGAGAGATGCTCGAATTTCCATTAAAATCGGTACTGCTACAGTTCCCATATCCTAAGTTGTCTCAATGTCTTGCCTCTGAAGAGTAGTAGTTGGACCGGTCAATTCACTGTCAAGGTGCTATAGATGTGCATGTGTCATTCGTGAAGAGCATTCAGACTACAGCCTCTCGCTTAAGATCCCTGATTTTTGCTTGGATCGCCCTTTAGGGTTTTCGACCCAACGGGATACCCATTTTTTCCTAAGTTGCCTTTCCGGGTTTTCAACTTAGCGGGTTGTTATCTTTTTCATTTTATCCCTAACTTTTTCCTGGACTTTCGTGTCCACTAGGATGCCCATTTTTTGCCTAAGTCACCCTTTCGGGTTTTCGACCTAGCGGGTCTCTTTATGCGTAGAATTTTTTGACTAAGTCTGAATTGACTGAGAGTGGAACGTCTTCCACATCCATGTCTGTCAGGATTAGAGCACCTCATGAAAAAGCTCTCTTCACGATATATGGTCCCTCGTAATTGGGAGTCCATTTGCCCCTTGGATTAGAATGGCTTTGCACGATGACCCTCCTCAAGACCAAATCACCAGGATAAAACTTTCGAGGACGAATCTTTTTGTCGAATGCTCTTTTCATCCTCTGTTGGTACAACTGGCCATGACATATGGCCATCATACGCTTTTCATCAATCAGATTAAGTTGGTTGAACCTTGTCTGAACCCATTCTGCCTCATCAAGCTTGATCTCCATCAGAACCCTCAACGAAGGAATTTCTACTTCGACATGAAGCACATCATCCATGCCATAGACAAGCGAAAATGGAGTTGCCCCTGTTGAAGTGTGCACAGACATTTTGTATCCATGTAGAGAAAAAGGCAACATTTCATGCCAATCTTTGTATGTTCTGACCATCTTTTGGACAATCTTCTTTATATTCTTATTAGCAGCTTCGACTGCACCGTTCATTTTTGGTCGATAAAGCGATGAATTATGATGTTCAATTTTGAACTCTTCACACAATTCCTTCATCATATTGTTGTTAAGATTAGAACCATTATCAGTGATGATTCTGTGAGGAACTCTGTAACGACATATGATTTTTTTCCTGATGAAGTTGGTAACGACCTGTTTGGTTACATTCTTGTAAGAAGCTGCTTCCACCCATTTGGTGAAATAGTCAATAGCCACTAGGATGAGTCTATGACCATTCGAAGCACTTGGTTCAATCCTTCCAATCATATCAATTCCCCACATCGCAAATGGCCATGGGGAGGTCATAACATTCAAAGGAGTTGGAGGAACATGAATTCTGTCTGCATATACTTGGCATTTGTGGCACAATTTTGCATATACGCAACAATTGCTCTCCATTGTCGTCCAGAAGTATCCTTCTCGTAGGATTTTCTTCGCCATAGAATGCCCGCTCGAATGAGTCCCGAAATAACCCTCATGGATTTCCTTTATGATCGACTCTACTTCGTGTCTATCCATGCATCTGAGCAGAACCGAGTCATAATTTCTCTTATACATGACATCTCTTGATAAGAGGAACTTGGATGCTAACCTTCTAAGCGTACGCTTATCACAAATTGTAGCATTTTCGGGATACTCTTGCTTCTCGAGGTACCGTTTAATGTTGTAATACCACGGCTTCTCATCAGACATATCCTCGATTGAGAGACAATGGGCAGGAAAG